TAAACCCTCTAGATCCTAAGCCCTAAGCCTAAACGGCGTAATCCCTACAGCCTACACCCAGACCCTGAGCCGCCGGATTTTGGTCCCACCGCGACGTTGCTTCCGAGTGTCTTCCCAAACCTTCCAAAATCACTTAGTTAAGCAGCATACCTGGGCCCTAAACCCTAAACCCTGAACCCTGAACCCTAAACCCTAAACCCTAAACCCTGAACCCTAAATCCTAACCCCAAAAAACCCTACACCCTAAAACTCTTATGGTACCCTTATAGAAACCAAGGTCTCTTCCTTCCTTTGGAAGGTCTCGGGCTCAAAGGAAGCAGACGCAGCCTTCGATTTTGCAGTCGAAGCACCTGGGTCTTAGGGGGTTTAGTTTAGGGTCTTAGGGGTTTAGTAGGGTCTTGTGGGTTTAGGGGTTCAGGGCTTAGGGTTTAGGGGGTTTAGGGCTTCAGGCCGAACCCCGAACCCCATGGAACACTTGAAGCCCTGTGTACTCCACCGAAGTATGAAGACGCGCTCAAGCCCTACGAAAGCAGATGCTGGAGAACGCTGCTTGAAAAACGCTGGTGGCATTGAAACCCCAACAACACTTTGCTTCAATCCCGATCGAGCCCACCTGAACTAACCCCTAAAGAACCACAAACCCTAAACCACCTACAGGATTTCGATGGCGCCCTGAAAGAACGCTTTTCGGCAAGAAGATATTAGTAGCACCTCAACCCCTAAAAGTAGGTAAAATAATGGCCCAAGAACCCTAAAAGGCTATTATTTTACATACTTTTGGGGTCCAGGTACCATGGCTTCAAAGCCGAGGCACCGTAGGCCAAAGCTGACGCCCCTCTTACCCGGCCGGCGCCGAAAGGCAGAGCTAGCCGGAATCTCGGGAATCTCCAAAGAAGGGCTTGCAGTCTCCTGGGCGCGGGGTTCTTTTCTAGACTCTTCAGTAAACCCCCTGGAAAAAAGTATACACCTTTTTAAGGTTAGTTGTAATATACTAGGAACCCAGGAACCCAAAAAGTAAAAAAGTATGCTACTGAGCAGCCTAATTTTTGAAAGGGCACCTAGAATCGGCTTTACACTGGTTGGATCCTTTCGTTGAGCCACAACCCACTATTTTGTCACGGTGGTGGGTTTGGGGGGTTCATGGACGCGGGTTTTGAACTGGTTCAGGGACTTCAGATGGCTTGAGACTTTGGGTTTAGAGTTTTTGTTTACTCGAAACCCCTAAACCCTAAACCCTTAAACCCTAAACCCCCAAACCCCTAAACCCTAAAACTTAAATCGGAACTTGGGGCTGAAGGCCTTTGCGATTCTGAGAACCTCACCTCAGGCTTTCGGGTCAGGGGTTTAGGGTTTAGGGTTTGGGGTTTAGGGTTTAGGTTTAGGGTTTGGGGTTTAGTTTAGGGTTTAGGGTTTAGGGTTTAGGGTTTAGGGCTTAGGGCTTTAGGGGTTTAGGGTTTAGGGTTTAGGGGTTTAGACTTCATCTCCTAGCTGGGGTAGGGGGGGGGGTCGGTGACATAAGCACGATAGAAGAGCTTCAGAACACCGGAGAGTATACAGACAACCCAAACCCCAAAGCCAAAACCGGGAAGCCTAAACCCTTAAATCCTCTGGGAGGTTCATGGGTAGTTATAAGTGGGGTGATAGGTCTGCTACTATGGGTTATAACTATAGTTACCCTACTTATAACCCCACTTATAACTACCCACCCCCATAGAACCCTTTAAAGGAACCCATAAAGGAACCCACAAAGGAACCTCCAAGCAGACCTTAGAGCGTCATACCCATGAACCTCCAAGCTGATTGAATGCAGCTCCCATATCGGACCTGGTCTCCGGTTTCATCGCCGGCAGGATGTCCGTGCGAGTAGCCAGAACTTGGGCAACGCCAACGGTGAAGTCCACCTTTACCGGGTTTGAGGGTTTAGAGCATTGAGCTTTTCAAGCCTAGGGTTCGAGGGCGTAGAGACTTCCTAAAGGTGAATGAGAGTATTGATTGAGGTTGTAGACTAAACCCTAAACTTTAAAACCTTGCCCCAGATGGGGCTGTCACTGAGGGCTTCGACAAGTTGAGTTTAGCACGCTGGCTTTGGGGCTTAGGAGGGGATTTGGGGCCGGGCCCGGGGTCGTTGGAAGTTTCAGAATCTTGTAGTTTAGGGTTTTAGGGTTTAGGGTTTAGGGTTTAAGTACATAGCTGTTAAGGGTTGGACATCCGGAGGGAGTTCAGGCGCCAAGGGTTCCGGATAGAGAACATAGATGCCAGCAAAGTGCTTAAAGGAAACCTCATTTCAAGAGACCCCCCCACCTGAGACAAGAGGCCTGACATGGTCCAGTGAGGGTGATAGATGTCAGCCGGCTTATGATATTCAGACTGGATATACCTGGGTTCTTGCTAAGGAACTTGAACGACGGTTATCATAATGAGGAAACCCTTAGTATTGGCTCTATTACGGTAACTGCAACGATTAAGCTCCTGAACAAGAGCCCAGATACCTACCGACGACCTCTTCGTAGTAGCCACTGGGCTTCCCGATGAAGTCCCGGCCAAAGAAGAACCAACAGCCAGGAACACCTGGGTTTAGGGTTTAGGGTTTAGGGTTTCAGGCAGTAGAAATCTTCTTCCTTCTTAAGACTGGACTGTACTCCAACCAGAAATATTGAATTCTCCTTGCTTCCTGTTACTATACTATGCTACCATCGTCGAATAAAAGCGGGGCCCAGACACCCCTGCGTACGAAGCTCCAGTGATCGCTGCGGTAGAAGAGGCCCATCTTGGGCTGCAAATCATGGACCAAGACAAGACCTTGCGCTGTTGCCACCTGCTCTAATACCTAAACCCCAAACCCTAAACCCTAAACCCAAACCCTAAGCCCTAAATCCTAAACCAAAAACCCTAAACCCCAAACCCTAAACCTTACCCAACCCCTAAGCTCTCTGCGGGACTCTAAAGCACAGTGGCGGGGTTTGGGGTTTCGGCTCTATAAACTCATCACGGGTCTCTGAATACTCGCGACCCAGAGACTCCAAAACCCGCTAATTAAGGAATTAATACATTAACCCTTCTTAGGGTTCCACTTGCAACTTAATGAGTGTACGTTCCTAAATTAAAGGGTTTTGGAGTCTCTTGGGATTAGAACAGACCGACGCAGGTGCTTCAAGCTTTCTGGGACTCCCTCCTCATTCAACAGCGGATCCAGGGTGCTCTTACCCAAACCAAGGACTGATAGATCTCGCGTCTTCCCCCAGACATTTCCAACATCGAAGGCGAAGGCAGCGATTGGCTTCGCTTGTCGCTGGCCGAGCATCAGGGGCTCGGCGGCATAGAAGTCCGACCCAAGAAACCCACACTCCTCAGCTGTGGGTGCCATAAGCAGTACCGATCTTTTCAGCTGCATGCCCGATTCGATCAGCCTTCGGGCTGTCGCCAGCATCATCGCAACCCCTGTGCAGTTGTCCACGGCCCCGTTGTAGATTTCTCCTTCGCGCTCGCCCAAATGGTCATGGTGTCCGGCGATGACCACTGCCTCGTGCCGGTGCGCCTCTTCCCCAGGAAGGAAGCCGAGTACATTGCGGCCAGAGAAGCACCGCTTCTCATACAAAGCAGAGTGCGAAATACGGCCCACTGGCAAAGGCTGAAAATCTGCTCGTCGTGCTTGCTGCACCCAGCTCTCCAGCGTTGTGCCTGAAGCCACGGCCAGTTTGGAGGCCAGATCATGCCTGGACTTTGAAGTAACCAGGGAGAAAAAAGGACAGACTTTTATTTCATAGTGGTTCCTTAAAGGAACAGGTAAAAAAAAAAGTATTCAAGTATGGTACTCCAGAACCTAGATGCTGGAGCCAGCCATGAAGGGCCAAGGCCTTCGCTTGCGGCTTCTCCAGTGCCACCTCCTCCTGGGATCGGATAGGAGCTCTGTAGAGTTTGTTCTCAGTGTCTCATATACTTTACTATACTATAATACTGTATACTGTATACCATCATATACTATAAACTATACACTAAGGTTCTATATAAGGCGTTTTTACCAGTGCTTTCTAATATGTTTTCTAGTAAGGTTCGAGGAAGGTTTGTATCAGGGTCCTATATATAAGGGTGTTGCACGGGCGTCATCCGTGTTCTTATTCTATAACAGAAGACCAGTCTCCCCACTGTAGCCGGTGCGAGTGACACTCCAAGGATAGCCTGCAAATTCATCACTGAAGTGGATGATCAGACAGCCTGCAGCGCCTCGTCGTCGTGCCTCCTCGAACTTGTATGTCCACCGACCGTAGTAGGTCATGTCGTCTTGGGGGAAGGGCTCTACAGGAGGCTGACTGATCAAGACCAGTAGCACTTTGGAGCTCATATCCTGTCCCTTGAAGTCATCCCATCCCAAGCCGGGTGCAGAGACTCCGTGGCCCACGAACACCAAGTCCAGCCCCTCAAAAGCACACTCGGGCTCCTTGCTTGTTGTTCAGGACCGTTTCAGGATAGCTGCCTTGACTGACTTTTCTCCGGGGCTTTCAAACTCAAAGTTCCTGCATTCTGAAGGATTTCGCAAGAGTGAGATCAAAAAGCAAGAACACCAAACTAAACACCACAAAGCTCGGTTCAAGCAACACTAGACCTCCTAAACAAACGCTCAGGAGGTCTTGTATAAAAGCCTGGTATAAACACCCGGGCGCCGAATCCGCAAGGTGGTCCATGGAGTGCACGTAGTCGTCACCAAAACGGCCAGTCAGCTCTAAGTTTTGCACCTTGATCGGGGGGGGGAGGATAGGGTTTAGGGTTTATAGGGGCATGCTACGTCTTCGGTCTAGGGGCGTTAGTCATTAGAACAGCGTTTTGGGGATATCTCAGTACAGTGATGCAGGGACTATGAAAGACTACGATTTCCCAATAATTCAGGCCCCTGCATAAGCACCCAGACGCGTGCGTAAGCATCATGCCCCACGGCGCTCTCTCGAACAAGCTTTTTAGACCAGCTCTCCACCAGTCTCCACAGACTTGTTGCAGTACGAAATATGCCCCGCTGCATCTAATGACCTGCATATGACTTACCAACTTATGCCGCCTACACATGTGCATGTGTATGCGAGTACATGTATGCATGCATGAAATTTAGTATGCATGCACATATGAACATACATACATGCGTACGTACACTTGCACCTGTGTATGCGCGTTTGTTTGTGCATGCATGTCATGTATGTGTGTATATGTATGTCCATACGTAGAGAGGAACTAGGTAGGTATGTATGTATGTATGTATGTATGTATGTAAGCATGTAAGCATGTATATGTTTACACATGTATGTATGCATATTATTTCTAAAAGTTGCATTGCGTCGTGTTGTGCTGTATTGCATTGCAATGCAGTACCGATCGGAATGCATTACATTCCCATGCCCTCTGGTTGCATTACGCTGAAGCTGCGTTGCATCGCATCGCATCGCATCGCATGTCATGGCATCGCGTTGGGTCGCAGTTGCATTGCATCGCACCGCATGGCAGCACTGTGTGTTGCATCGTGTTGCCTTGCCCATAGGCCCCTAAGTAGTTCCTTTTTTGGGATTGCCTTATAGGATTCTAAATATAAACCACAAAAAGAAACTACTTAGGGGCCTATGGGTGTGTCTAGTTCGACTCGGAGCTGCTGAACCCTACCCAGAGAGCCCAATACCCCTTAATTAAGGAATGTAGTTTAAATTATAGGGGGCCTTAGTATTATGATTTATAAGGTATATTCCTTGATTAAGGGGTGTTGGGCTCTCTGGGTAGGCTGTTGCTGTCGCAAAGCTAACGTTAAAGGGGGTTGAATATTTCGTATTTACAAGTAGTAAAGGTGTACCTTGCAGTCTCCGCAAGGTTATACTCTAGCATATACCCCACATTACAGCCACAAAAAAACATTCTACCAAGACCCCTTTGCTGCAGCTAGGCACCTCGAAAGCCATCTTCGAGAAGTTCCGGACAGCCGTCAGCCCAACCATCCGCACGGTCTGAAAGTAGCTGCCCTCCTCTCCTGCAGGCTCGCATCCCAGCTCCTCGCAGGAGTTTCCTTTTGGTACGGTTCAGGATGGCCTACTTGGAGGTTCATGGGTAGTTATAAGTAGGGTTGTAAGTCCCCTAATATGAGTTATAACTATAGTTACCTTACTTATAACCCTACTTATAACTACCCATGAAACTCCAAGTAGGGGACATGTGAATTTTGGGTTTGGGGTTGTTGGCGTTTCGACTTAGGTTCATGCTCTCACGGAACCTGAAAAAGGATCCCATTTCCACGACTGTCCTCCGAAAGGAGGACTTTTTTTAATTGGGGCTCTGGGTTGCTTTCAAGGATGCAGATGGGGATTGGGATTGGGCTTTAGGGTTTGGCGTTCAGGTTTCCTCGCATGACTCTGAGGGTCCGGGTGCCGAAATACTGGGTTCTTGTTAAGGGACTTTGTTTAAGTTACCATAATGGGGCTATAGCAAGTAATATGGCTTCTTTATTATGGTGACTCAAGCTAATAAATCCCCTAACAAGAAACCAGAATAGCTAGTTGGCTCTCGGTACACCGAATCAGAGCCGGGCGTTTGTCATGGGATCCTTACAGGAGGGGGTTCAAGGGTGGTATGTAACCCAATCATCCCTTGCTCTCCCTAGTACCCCCAGGGTTTAGGGCTTATAGGGTTTAGGGTGGTTTAGGGTTTACGGGGTTTAGGGTTTATAGGGTNNCCCCCCCCCCCCCCGCCCCCCCCACCGAACCACCCTCCATTGGTAAGGATCCTATCAGCTTGGGAACTCAAACGCTGTACCACTTGGGTCCTTGCATTTTCTGGGTCCCTCCTCACGTTCTGTTCCTTTCCGGCAGTCCATGTGTCTCTGTTTATAACGCCCTGCACCACCCAAAAAGAGCCCGACGAGAACCCTCACAAAGAGCCCCTTTTTCTAAGGAGATCCTCTGGACTTTGAAGAAACCAGGGAGAAAAATGGACAGACTTTTATTTCATAATGGTTCCGTAAAGGAACAGGTCCAATAAACAAGTATTCAAGTATGGTACTCCGGAACCCACTCCTCCATCTTGCTGGCCACGAAAGCCGCAGCCACCTCCTCGGGCTCAGGGAACCGGGCTTTCCGCCCGATCTGGCACTGAGATGACTCAGCCCCTAACCTCATACTCTAAATCCTAAACTCCTAAAGCCCTAAACCCTAAACTCCTAAAGCCCTAGAGCCTAAAGGCCTAAACCCTAAAGCCCTAAAGCCCTAAAGCCTAAGCCTAAACCCTAAACCTTTAGGGTTTAGGGTGCTGAATCCCATTTTCTCGGCTCTGAACCCTGCTAGGTCCCGTACAGATCCCACGAAGCCTTCATGGAACCTCAGACATTTACACTTTCAGAATTCTAAGAGACCCTTTAAGAATCCCTTTAAGGAGCCCTTTCAAGGAACCATTTCAGGAGCACGTTAAGGATTCCTTTTAAGGACCCCTTTAAGGAGCCCTTTAAAGACCCCTTTCAGGAGCCCTTTAAGGAGCCCTTTCAAGGAACCCTTTTCTGTTAGGACCCCTTTCAGGAGCCCTTTGAAGCATCCTAAGCTCTGCCTCCCCGGCTGTACCCGGCTGCCGACCCTTCAGCGAGTCGTCGGCCAGGAACCGCACCACCTCGAACTTCGGGTGTACCGAATCGGTTTAGGGTTTAGGGTGTAGGGTTTAGGGCTTATAGGGCTTCTAGGGCTTATAGGGTTTAGAGGGTTTATAGGGCTTATAGGGTTTATAGGGTTTAGGGTGTTTAAGGTATTCAGGGTATTTAGGGTATTTAGGGAGTTCTGTTTAAGGTTCAATAAAGGCTACTATGAGGAGTGTCTCCGGGTGTACAGATTCTTGCGTAGGGTTTTAGGCGTGAAAGGGTTACTACTAAGGGGTTCTATAGTGGCGTCTCGACGGGTTCCGGGCTTACCAGGACCCTCCGAGTACCCTCAAACAGGGGCTCAAATTAAGGGTATTCAGGGTCTAATAGAGGGTAGATGGAACCCTAAGCCCTAAACCCCTAAACCAGGGTCCTGGTAGGTTTAGGATTCAGGGTTTGGGCTTTAGGGCCTTTGGGGGGTTGTAGGGTTCTGAACGCGGCTCGGAAGGTTCCTAAAGGGTAGTTCTCTAAGTTAGGGGTCCCTTTTAGGGGTCCTTTTTTCTCAAGGTGCCGTACTACCTAAAAAGGGAGACCCTTAATTCAGAGAACTACTGATATGGTTTCTTTGAAGGGGCTACAATAAGGGTAGATTTCGCGGTTTTAGGCTTCTTTCTTGTTTGGGAGTCGGGTTCTGGAGGGTTTGGAGTTGGCGTCCACGCAGCCGAAGTAGAATCCTGAACCTAAGTGTCGCGTTCTGCGTCCTTCAGCAAACACCCGCAACCGGCTAATTCATGGCTTCTTGGTTAAGTATTTAGGGCTTACTAAACCCAAAACCCAAAACCCCTAAACCCTAAACCCCTAGAAACCCTAAAAACCCTAAACCCCAAACCCTAAAGACCCTAGACCCTTAACCCTTCAACCCTAAACCCAAAACCGCAAAAGCCTAAACCCCTGAACCCTGAACCGTTTAGGCGGCCTGCGACCCTCAAAGCTGCCCAAAATGCCTCGCCTGTCGCATCTCGCGCTCGATGGGACCCTCTACTTCCTCATCCAGTCTGGGCCGCTTCGCATTGGATTCCGCCATGGCTCGGTTTAGGATTTAGGGGTTTAGGGTTTTAGGACTTTAAGGGTTTCGGGTTTAGGGGTTTAGGACTTTCAGGGTTTCGGGTTTAGGGTTTTTGGGGTTTTAGGGTTTTTCGGGTTTTTAGGAATTGGGGTTTAGGGTTGAGGGTGGGGGTTTCGTCAAGGGCCCCTTAAGGGTTCCGTTGGGAGCTCAGAAGTTTGGAGGTTTGGGCTTTGGGGTGTGAGGCGAAAGGAACACAGTGTAGCTCGGGCTGCGGTGAAACACGAAGGTGACCCTGAACACCACTCATGTGAATCATGACGACTGTGCCAGTCTGAGGTCACAGATTGACTCAAAGCTTCGGACATGTATGGCATGGACATTGCTGTCTTCTTTGAAGTATTCGGGGTGTATATATGCCTTAGGTTACTGTCATATAAGGTCAATATAAACATACTGAAGTATCTTAAGGAATTTTTTAATGCTGGTAATTATTCCGGTGTCTATGTTAATCTCCTATCTCTGATCGAGCTGGGCACGTGCTACAGATGGTTCGGATTTAGAATCTAGGGCATAGCCGAAAACCCCATTGTTTTCTGACACACCCTGAAGACGCTGTACATGGCTGCTGTATTTCTTGGGGTAGGTTCAAGGAGGCTACGTAAAATCTTGTCCTTGTGCAGCACAGCCTTGGGCTGTCCTGCTTTAGGGTGCTGGAAATCGGTGCAGACGCGGAGGTGCACTGGAACTCAATACTCCCCCCTGAACGAAGCAAGACGCGCGCCTGAAGTCGAAATGAGAATCCCTATGTCGGACATGAAAAGATATGGGGCTCTTTGAAAACCGTTAAGACATCTCCTCACCTCTTGCGGCGCTGTTCTTCATCGTATCTCAGCATGATGCGGTAGATGGTGCCCGGCCGTACCTGCGTGTTCAGCTTAGCAAGGCCAGAGCTACGGTTCAGGGCACCTCAGCCTTAACCTACCAGAACCTTCTTTGTTTGGTAGAGTTCTCTAAAATTCCAGCGTGGA